GAAAATTTTCCTAACTCTAAGGACTTTCCGGACACCCTATATATCCCATTCTGTAGTCAAAAACCTTATAATTGCCTTTTCTCATTGATATATTTCTAAATTTTAGGTAAATGCATTGAGTTCCGATAGTTCATCAAATGCAAAACTTGAAAAAGATATTCTACAACTATGGGATCATTTATATGGATATATGTCGAATACATCAACATTATTATTACCAGATAAAAATCGTAATGGTACAGCAATATTATATCCATCAAAAAATCATTTATTATTAATGCCAAAACTTGATTTTCATTTAAATGATTTATATAGTTTAATTCATAATAATTTAGATTTTTTACGTAATGTTTTTGATTCTGTTTGGAAAAATACAACACTTCTTTTAACATTATTATCAACAATTATTTCATTACTTTTTACTGGTGGTTTTGCATTATTAAATTTTCTTGTTTCATTTATTGTTTTTGTTACTTTACTTTTCTATCTTCTTTCACAATCAAATGAACGTATATATCGACCTACTGAATGGTTAAATAATACATTATCTGTTGGTGGAAAAGGTTTAGGTAAAGCAGTTCATGATGCAGTTACAAGTGTTTTTGTTGCTTCATTAAAAATTGCTATTTTTTATGGTCTTTATACATATGTATTACATACAATAGTTGGTTCAAATCTTGTTTTTTTACCAGCTGTTATTGCATCAATATGTGCTGTTATATTAAAATCTTATTGGGCAGCATTACCTGGATGTCTTGATGTATGGCTTGTACAACAACGACCATTAGGTGCTTTAATACTATTACTTGGTCAAATTGCACCAACCTATGTTGTTGATACAGCGATTTATAGTGAAGTTAAAGGAGGTGGACATGAAGTAATATTTTGCTAAAGAATTTTTTTCTTTATGAATCTAAAGTTTCGGTTGTTTTTTGTTTTTAAATAGTATTTAACAGCATTAGCTATTGCTGGAGGTGTTTATTATCGAGGAATTGAAGGAGCTTTAATAGGTCCAATGGTTTTATGTTGTTTATTGGTTGGTGTAAGATTATATAATGAAACAATGACTACAACATTATCTTCAAATCATGAACAAGAACCTTCGATATCTTCGTCAGGACCTCTAGTTCGTTCTAATAGTGTACAAACAACAATGACAAAATAATTTTATTCAATGTATAATGTATATTGTTTTTTTTTTTTTGTAGTATTAGAATTATATTTCATTATTTATTTATTATTAATCAAGAATTATAGATGTTTTAGAATATTTGCTTGAGTAATTTTTGTTTTTAGAGTATTTATTTAATTAAATAAAAATATCAAGAACTAATGTAGTCTATACATTAGTTTTTCACTGATACATTTGTAGTATGATATGCTTTGTTAAGATGACTTGTAAAGAATGGTCTAAATTTTTGTTTTTATTATTGTGTAATGTAAGTGTATGTCATCATAGTTAATTCATCGCCAATAAATAAAATAATGTTGCTCATCACGAAAAAAAGGATTACTCTGATTAGGAATGTGAATTTATATTTACTTTTGATTAGATTTATGAGTAAATTAACAGAATATAATGGTGTCCTTAGTTTTGATATATCATTTAGTTGTAAAATTATTTTATTTCGTTTGATTGATTTTATGTTTAAACTTAACCTTGTTCGATTTCAATCATAAATTCAAAAAGAGATATTTTCCTATCAACAACAAAACTTTGTAACTTCAGTCTGACGAGGAAACTTCGCTAACTGATACATGCTATTTGAGGTCATATTTTGCTCATAGGCAGGGCGCAACATATAAATAAAAATCCTCAAAGGATTCGTCCCGTTGTCGCTTTGTTGCAGAGAAACAAACGTAATAAGTTTTTCTAAAAATGTTCAGTATCTCAATAATAGAACATTTCTGCGAGCCATTTAAGGATTTTTATCTACATGTTGGATCTTACCTATAAGCACATATGAGCTCAAATGGGATGTATCAGTTGGTGAGGTAGAGAATTCATTTTATCCTAACCTTTACACCGACATTCTCATTCACATGCTTATCTTTCTACTTGTTATTCATTATGTTACCATCAGACTATGTAGAAAAATATTGCATATGTTTGTTGTACTGAGTTGAAAGAATCTCGCTACATCATCTGTGATTCATATGATCATCGGAGTCGATCTACGATTTCAGCAACTTCGTTCGTCACAGGATCCAGTGTATTAGCATAAAGTTAATCATCAAGTAAGATCATAGAGCGAGGATAAAAGTTAAACTTGCTGACAGTTGGATCGAGCCGTGTTTAAATCTACAAATTCATAATGTCGAAATCGATTCTGGACGACAATGATCAATTGAAATCATACATCGGACAAATTCAATTATTTTCATCGAATTGTATATATCTCTAATAGATGATTGTAGATTAATGCTTCGTGATGGCTTCTTCTCTCTTTCTCTCCTTAATAATTGTTTATCGAACTCATGTTTAGGCTTATTAAAAGTACGCATGATTTAATGAGAAGAAAGAGTGTGGATGTACCAGTGTGATTGAACATAAGATACAAACCATACACCCACATCCGATTTTAGAGGCAATAGAAAACAAAACGGAATACAATTGTCTATCAATCCATTGTTTCGTTTACAGAATGTGCAATTGAGCATCAATGTTAGTCAATTCAGCAAGAAATCAATTTTAGAGTATATTGCGCATGTTGATTGAAAACATTTTCAATTATCGATAGTTTTTTGTTGTGTCAAGCGATCAAGATTTTTAAATTCATTTTGATTTCCTCGTTGTTTTTAATCGAATATTTGACTCAAAACTAATTGGATTCCTTGAATGAGACCAACCTACTATCGAAATATGAAAGACCTTTCCATCAATCGATTTGACATATTCGTCGACTAATGAATTATAATCATTACAACGTGTCATTGAAATATTTTCTATTCAATTGTATTCGATTGGATATAGAAATAGAATGATAAAAATAAGTTCTAAAATTTTCTAGAATTATGATGATAGATTTAAATACTCAAAATTATAAGTAGATGTGTCTGACACATTTGAATCAATCAACATTCAACAGTTTTCTATGCATGAACCGAAAAGATTGTAATCAACAAAATCTATCGATAAAGGATACCGATGACTATAATGAAATGTGAAACATATACTGAGGTTATGTATGAGATACCTTGAGAACATATCGAAGCCGCCAATTAGTCAAAAAATTCGTAACACAGATCGTTCCGAGTCTTTTAATGCTATAGGAGTTTAGTTGATATTTTTCTAAGATACTGTTCTTATATATTTTGATGAAAAAAAAAATGATGAAAAAATCGTTCGTATAATCACGTAGTTAATGCATATAAGTAGTCAACAAATTCTTATAACATTGTTGTGCAATGTCATCCACAAACTTTCCTACATTCCTTCTTTGATTTGAATCGATTGTCATTGCCTACAACGAAAATATCTCGTATCTTCTATTATATGACTAAAATGATTATTTACCATCGCAGCCACCGTAGATGAACTTTTTACATTCATTCGTGGTTAGATCGAAGTAAAATCTTCTCAGATATGCACGACAGAAACCAGTCTCAGGTGGTAATTCACATATCGATGGTCGTTTAGCGTCGACAAGAAAGATTATAACCAAACATGAAAGGATGACAAAAATTGTGAATTTATGCATAGTATAATACTATAGATGTGTTGTATAATCTAGAACAGTTAAAATGAATTAGAGTAGACAAAAAACGATCATGAAAATCAGTAATCATCCATAGTCAACTAGCATAGAGTACTTGGATATCGTTTTTCGGATGTTTGATCGAAGAATTTTGGAGCAATATGTTGCACAAAAAATTCGATGAGAAACTCAACTGAAAAATATATCTAAAAGAAACGTTTCTATTATATATTCTTTTAGTTTGTAAACTGTAATCTTCAAGATTAAACTTTGCAATTAAAATAACATATTGTTCCATCGAAATTTGAGATTAGAACTTACGATATTGATTCTTGTATATTTTCTGGCTATCATCATCGCACATACTTTTACGGTAGTTATCATAAGTGAAATAAGAGTATTACTTTTGTAATGCCATGAAAAGATATGAGCTGTATGTATTCATCGCTAGACTTCTTCCATTCTAGGTTATTGTTGTCTCTTTTGGGAGTAGTATCAGTCATTCAAATAAATCTTAATTGTTCTATTGGGAAAATCTCGTAATTGATCAAAACTTTAGTTGTTTTGTGTCTCCTATCATTCGTTCTTTTCGAATCTTAAATTATACTATTAATTACTAGTCTTGCGGTCTGGATCCCCATTTTCTAATTCAAATCCATCAAGTTCACTTCACTATGGTAAACATCTGGAGTCAATAATAACCACATCTAAATACAATATTATCAATCAATCAATTTTGGGTCGTCAATGGGTGAACCAGCATAATACTGATTTATGTGCTCGTACTACACTTTTATCACAATCAATATCGTCGATTTTATCGACAAGTACTAGCATTTTATTTCTAATTGGCACAAACTCTATTCGTATTACACCTGCACCAAAAATTATCGAGCAAGTAGAAGATATAATCAATACAATTCGTTTATATCATCATCATCATCATCTTACTCATACAGTTGATATTACCATAGTAGCGATCTTTCTATGCAATAAAGTTTCATCTTGTTTTCCATCAACTGAATTATTTTTACATAATATTAGTTTATACAATGAACAACTAGAAATATTATCTCATCGACTTGAATTTTTATATATTAAATTTCCAATTACTGATGAACATCTACAATATCAATATCTTCTTTATGATAGAATTATTGCTTATTTCGATAACTTATTACTTAAAAAGACCAAAATTTCCCAATCTTAACATCGTTCTCGAACAGCTCTTACACATCACAATAAACGACGACACGAGAAATTACGGATAAAACAACAACAACATATACTGATTCGACCGATTTCTGCATCATGAAAATGACAAGATATAAAACACATATTAAAAAATCAAAAATATTAAATTTGCTCGATTACCTTATATTCACAAACACCAAATTCGTATTAAATTTAACAATACCAATGATAAACAAGATACTGATCAAGTATTATCACCAAGCGTCTTTGATGAAAAAAATTATTTGCAATTATATTATCAACATGAATAACAAATATCTACTATTTTTCTCTCCTATTGTGATCATTTTGTCTATTGTATTTGTTTCTTTTGTTTTTTCTTGTTTATATGCTTATTTTCGTACGTTACACGTCATATCGTTTTTCTTTTTCTATGACTTTGGCTTAGTCTTGACTAGAAAATCTAATACTAAATTAAGAAACGTGGTTGGTCAAAAAGTTAATATACATATTTAATACAGGTTTGAAAAGGCGTGGTCTTCATTGTGGGATTTAATACCTAATTAAGGAATCTGATTGGTATTTCTAAGTAGCAACACCAATCAGATTCTTTAAGTCGGTATTAAATTATATAGTGTAGGCAAGGCTTTAATCAACTTTAAATCCGATTTCTATGAATCAATTGAACTAAACAAAGCGGCAAATCATTCTAGATTCTGGTTCATGCATTAACTTATAAGTGAAGATGCACATCATTTTAATACGAAGTTAATATCATATTATTCTTCTAGTGTAGACAAGGCCTTTATTTTGTTCCTGTATTTCTGTTGTACGTTACATCTCTTTACCTTAGGACTTAATCGATTGATCTTTCAGCTTATTCAATAGGGTGGGCAGAAGACATGATCAATTTTTTTCGTCTGAAAAAAAGAGATGTTAGCGTCAACAGATGGCGCTCATTGACGCTAAACATATAATTGTTATTCATTAAATTGTTTTGTCCGCTTTGATGTTCCTCTAAAGCCACCGACACATTAGAAGACTCCTCTTGAACGAAGGATGCAAAAGACAGTTTAAAAGAGCCTCTTCTGAAAATTGATTTTTGAAAATAATTTTGTGCAATTTATCGAGATTTTTTATCTTTAATGTTATATATCAATATCTAATTTCAGCATGGGCAATATTTTTGCTACCGTCGTCTTAGCAATACATCAATTCTAAGTTGAATATCCTATAAGACGAAACTAATAGAAATGACAGTTAATTAGAAAATGCATTTCTTTACTAAAGAAAGTGCATTGGAATCATTTTACTGCTCATTTGGATTATGTTCTCAAGAAATTTTTCAGATTTTCTTTAGGAAAAATTCACTCCTATCTTTGTACGATCTAATTAACGCGACATGCATACAAACATGTCACACACGAAGAGATCTTTCTGAAATGAGAACATATTGAGTAAAATGTCGTTGTATATTACTTAACACGATATTCTACCTATAGACTTTCTTCTAGAAATTCGAGCAAGTTCTTATTACAGAAGAGCTAGATGCGGGTGAAGATAAGATCAACATCCACACCCACAACCACACTTCTCTGCTTGATTCTGCACATTCACTGTTGAATATGACTTCTTTTTATTTCTCTAATCTTCGTGACATCGTTATCTAGAGTTCTCTGTCTTTCTTGTTGATTCTAGAAACAGGTAGAGTGGCCTGTAGTCACTCTCCTTGCCACCTAGGCAATCTTTTCAGCAGGTCTTATCTAGTGACGAAGTACATCTTTCATATTGTTCTTCTTTTAAGAAAGAATAAGGTAAGACAAGACCGTATTTATTCAAAAATCTATTCACATATCTATTTTTGAAAGAAAGAAGAATTACCAAAATAGTATAACTTACAAAAGAAAATTCGACTCTAGTAAATTGTTTCGACAAGTCTCGACTTCATATTTTAGATCAATTTGATGCTTCGTGTTAGAATTACGAAAGAAAAGAAATTTCAATAAAATCTATTAGTTTGAGATAGAAAAATATTTTTTTATAGAGGCCTTTAAATGTTTGTTTTAGTGTTTCAAGGTAGAGGTTTTATTCAAACTAGGTCTCTAAAAAAAAAACATCCATGATGTTGTCAAAAGAGCAGAATATTTCCCAATGAGAGAAAAATAAACGCCATACACATTTCTGAAAAGTTTCAATTATTCTTTTATTTTTTTGAAAGAATTCATTCAACACTTGAAATATTCGATTCTAGATCTCTATTTCTGAATCAACTATGGCTGGTGTTCTACATACTTCGCACATTTATTTTAACCCAAAAGTTCTTTCATTTGAAATGTCACCAACTGCCAACATTCTTGAATTTCACCAGAAACTTCCATTCTACGTTCCAACTCGTCTCGTGGAAGCTCCATTTGTAGCTAAGCGCCTAGGTGTTCGTCATGTCTGGGTAAAAGATGAGTCAAGTCGGTTCGGATTACCAGCTTACAAAATTCTTGGGGCATCATGGGCTACATATCGCGAGTTGGAGACTCGTTTTGGTCCTTTTCAACCATGGTCTAATCTCGATGAATTGAGAGAGCAATTGAAGGATTTGGATATTACTCTTGTTACCGCTACTGACGGAAATCATGGCCGAGCTGTCGCGCGTATGGCTCGATGGCTTGGATTGAAAGCACACGTCTTCGTTCCAGATGATATGGTACATGCTCGGAGAGAAGCGATTAAGAATGAAGGAGCGCAGATTGAAATCGTTAATGGAACTTATGATGATGCTATAACTAAATTAACTCGAATAGGAGGAGACAAGTATCTAGTCATCAGTGATACAGCATGGGAAGGCTACGAGCGAGTGCCTACTTGGATTGTTGAAGGATATGGAACGATATTTCGAGAGATCGATGAACAACTTAGAACACTCGAAGCAGAGCAGCCACATTTGGTAGCAGTACAGATGGGTGTCGGTTCTCTTGCTGCCTCTGTTGTTCGTCACTATCGTTCGCCTAACCGTACAACACACATTCTCGGCGTTGAACCAACACATGCCGCATGCGTACTTCGTTCATTAGAGGCAGATGAACTCAAGGAAGTGCCAGGTCCCCATATATCGATAATGGCTGGTCTAAATTGTGGCAAGCCATCTCCACTTGCCTGGCCCTTGCTGCGCAATGGTCTGAGTGGATCAGTGGCAGTTGATGACAGTTTCGCAGAAGAAGCCATGCGTCTACTCGCCCAAGACGAAGTAATATCGGGAGAGTCCGGAGCAGCAGGCCTAGCCGGTCTCTTGGCTGTATTGACCGAGAGGAATGAGGCAGATACAATGCGTCAAAAACTCGGTATCGACCAGAATAGTACCGTCTTGATCATCTCAACCGAAGGTGCAACTGATCCACAAGCGTATGTTCGGATTGTTGGCAGTATGCCCAACATATGATGATCGATGTTTCATTGAACAGTTTATAATTTGCAGACTTTTCTACTTTTGCTTTCCGTTTCACGAAGTCATCTCTATGTATCGCTTGTAGCTGAAGAACTTTTCGAAATCCAACAGTCTAAAGTTGACATTTATGTCACTGATTCAAAAGAAAAGTAATGCTGTACGTGACATTAGTGGCATGCCAGTCAGAACGTCTAAGTTACCATTGTAACTATTTTGCGATAGAATATCATTCTATAATCATTTCAGCATCTTTGAATTAACTACACTGTAAAAAAATGCACTTAAGAAAACAACAATTGCGTAGAAAATATGAAAAATTTTGGTTTTGGTTTGAAGCATCTCTACAATGAATAGACACAACTCGTACACAATCATATATTTTGTACTTTTGTCTTTTCAAATTTCTATTCAGTTCCTCAAAATAGTACGAATGTCGAGTAGCAATTCTTTTGAAAACAATTGTAAATCCTTTCTTTTTCAATGAGCTAGAACTGACAGATCAGTTTCCGTGCGTAGAACTGATATGGAGTTGTCACATGCCTAAACAAGAGCTTCTTAGTTCATGAAAATAGATACATTTAAGTTAGACTCTCTCTCTTCTCCTGCGCGGACATCCACATTCCATCCTATTTTACTGAGGCACGGTGGCCATTGTGGTTTTTTGATCCCAAAACCTGAAAAACGTCTTTTAAAAGTTTGTAGTGAATTTTAGTATTTTGTTCTTTTTCTTTTAATAATAGAAACCATTCAACTAGGCTCTATATAGAATTTTGTAGAGCAGATTCCGCGCAGTTGAATATACCTCCAGACGGTTTGTTATATAGTCTGGAGAAATTTCTCTTAAATATGAAGCAATATTATCATATGCAGAAATTAGAAAATCGAACATAAGAATAATTACACGTATAATCTGTACAAAGCCTGTCTTGGTGCTTCAAAAAAAAACACGTTTGATTTTCGGTACAGTAAGCTATTTTCAGAATGGATGAAAATATGGGTCTTCTCTTCTCTTTTATATTGGATCATACTCTAAAAGTAACAGACAATTATGGCTTGATTATTATAAGATTATCGTCAAGATCGTCTAGGATGTGTCAGTAGAAAAATACAAATAATCAATAAAAGCATCTCGCATCTTCAGAGTGACTATCAGAGTCAGACTAAAAAATTTTTTTGTTAAAATTAGGAGTACGATTCGAATCTGAAAAATGATTCTTTAAATTTTAGTTGAATAGTAAAAATATCAAGAAATTCGAAAGTAAAAAGCTAGAATTACTGAAACCTCATTATGATTATTCTTTGTATGAAAAATATTCCTAATAATAATGAATAATTCTTATTTCAAAAATGTTGAGACTATAAATCATCGACCTCTAACACCACTGAGCACGGTCAGTTTTCGATAGTCCTGATGCATACAGGAAAATTTGTATTTCAGTTTTTCTCAAAATCAATTTTTACACCAAAATAGTGCAGAATCGCTCCCATTTCGACGACATAATACATTCAATCGAGCTGAAATTTTTTTATAGGTAGTAAACACTGTTTGGAATGTCTATAGTTTTTTCATTTTGAAAAATATTACACCGTTGATTTTTGGTGGATGAGAAAGCGGAGCAACTAGGGAGCTATTTCTTAGCTTTTGTGACCCAAATTTTTTTCTAGAACTATTCAGGAATTTAGAGTCTATGATGACTTTTTTGCTCTACTCTGAAAGTTTCAAAATAGAAAGAAAGTGTGAGAAATTCAGAGGAACAGTAAATTCCTATTGACTTCTCGAATTCTTTTAAGTAAATTATTGTTACAGCAGACAGTGCTGATTTGCTACCGATGTATGGAAACGAACTTTTATTCTTATGGAGAACATGTCACAAACAACAAGACATTGATAGTAGCGCCGGTTTTTTTTTATTGGTTAATACTGTTGAGTTTTGTTGTTCTGTCTTTTTTTTACATTCAAACTTTCCTCACTTCCTATTTCATAAATTTTCTTCGAATTACTCAATGAACTTGATATTTCATTAGTAGTTAAATTATTACTAAGAAATGAGAAGATTATATAGAATTATTCACCTATGAAGATACTAAAGGTAATATATTCGGCTTCAAATAATTTTAGAGTTCATTTATAGGTTGAATTTATTTTAAATTATTTGAAAAATACACTGATATTTCTGTTTCTCTTGGATAAAAAGAAAGATGATTTGTATATTTTAATTTATCCAAGAATTTTTGAGTTAATCTAAAAAAAAAAAGAACTTTTTTATTTCATTAAATTTCTTTATTCTAGTGATGAACGTCAGTTTATTCTTCCTTATTGTACAGTATGGTATGATTGCTTATCAATAGGTAAATAATCAAAACGAAAGAATTCTATTATTTGAAGAATAGAATAATTGTTCAATTATGTTACAATGTTTGATATTATTAAATCTTCATTAATATGATCAATGATTAATATTTTGAAATTACAATTTGAATTATTGAAAACGAGATTAATTTATCAAAGATAATTTTATCTTTTGATTACAAATCTTGCAAGAAATTTATAATCATAGACTGACTATTGTTAAAATATTTAAATTATGCTAGTGATCATACACATCAGGGTTATCTCAAACATGAAATTAATAAAACAAACGTAAAATATTTTCATTTTATTTTTATAATAAAAAACAATCTCAAATAGAGTTTTCAATTTATTATATTTCTACCATTTGTAATATGTTATGATATATATCGAATGTCATTATTCTTATATATATGAAAATCAAATTTTAATTCATTTATTACATAAAACAAGTATTTTAAAGGGTGTCAATGAACACATTCATATTTCTTGAATTAGCCTCAAATATTCAATTGTGATATAGCATGTTTACATAAAATAACCAATTCATTTCGTACATAATTCAATCCCAATAATCATCATTTTATGGTAAATACAGGATGTTTCAAAAGTCTGTCAAGAAAGTCAATATAAATATTTCTCATACAATTCTGAAAGATCATCAAATATTACAAAAACAAGGTCAACGAAAGTGTTCGAGCTGCCGCAAAAGTCTGTTTCATTCAATGAACGAATTGCACCTTATACAATTTCAATGAAAGGTACTCAGTCATAATTCGGTACATTATTGTTCATGAAATAGAGAAGACGATCGCGACTAGTCCCACATATGATTCTAATTCAGCTTTTGCACAAACATTATAACCTTCCTTGACTTTTCCTTTTGTAATTTTTGATGGTCTTCCAGAACATTCTCAATCGTTCGCTGTATTAGTTTCATGAAAACATTGAAATATAACTTTAATGTAATCTTCATTTAGTTTGTTTTTTTGCCGAATTCAACTTGCAATATTCGTTTCGCAACCATAAGTGACTCAAACTTTAGAGTGGAATGTAAATATCAGCGTAGGAGAAGAGGGGATACTTGTATCCAACTCTATACAATGGCAAAAAAAAATCTTTTTTATTTTGCACGTTTAATTTCTGAGAAAGAAAGTCACATGTCCGTCTGCTATACGAAAAAATGCGTACTGTGACTTCATATTCACCTTTTCTTATTTGATATGTTCTTTCGTTAGATCAATAAAGAATATGTCGCAATTCCTGAAGGTAAATTCTATGTTAAGAATAAACGGCTTAATCATTTGTTTAATCTTAGTATTACATTCAGAAGGAATTAAATGTATTTTTTTTTTGACAAAAATTATTGAAGAATACGTTCGATTACATGCATTTAATGTATTGAGAAACTTATTCATATGATCTAATTAAATGTTTTTCATTGGATACTATTCTATTAATTATTAAAAATAAAATCATTTCTAGTTCTTATTATTATTTTTTTGTATTTCGATTTTACCATTTATTTTAAATAAATTTTCTTGATGAATCAACAAGATTTATTTTTCTTCCTACTGCACGTGTTAGATTTTTTTGTTCTGTGGGTTTTTTTCTTCTGTTAACTAACATAATGAAGTATTTTTTTTTGTTTCTATTTGTTTCAAATACTCAATTCTAGATATTATTTTGCAACGATGGCTAATTTACCAGATAGTATTATTTCTGTTTTTCTTGAAAAACGACAATGTATATTAATAGATACAGAAGTAAATAATGCACTTATCAATCAAGGTATTTCATGTAATGTAGAAGATATACATCATCATGTAAAATTACTTAGTCCAGGATTATTTCAATTGATAAATAATTCAAATGGAAGAGTAACAATTTGTGTTGAACCTAAAGTAAATTATCTTTCTTGTTCGTTGTTCTTTTTTTTTGTTTTGATGTATTATTTTAGATTGAAATCTGTGATGAATTTCTTGGTAATCATTGTCCAGCTAAACCAAAACAATGTGATCGATTGCATATATGTCGACATTTTGAAGGCAATTGTCCATCCTTAAATTGTCGTTTTCCACATGATTTTAGTAAGGGATATAATAGGAAAATTATTGCAGAAAATCATTGTCAACGTATAAATCCGGTGTTACTTGTCAAACTTCTTCGTCTTAAGAAATTTTCATCAGTAAGAAATTTTTACATATAGTTATTGAATAATTAACAATGTTTGCTTATTTTTCTTTGATTAGAGAAATCCGTCATCATATTTACCACCTACCAGAGGTCATAGACCAAGAGGACGTGGTCGCGGTCGTGGTCGTGGTTTTTCTCATCATGGATCTTCAAGAAATATAATAGTAAAAAAAGATGATCGAAATCGACAAGTAGATGTTAGTTTTCCATCATCAAATCTTGCTCAACAAATTGATATGGAAATGATTGAAATTCTTTTAAATTTACATGATATAAAAATTGAAGATAAATTTAATGAAAATGAAAATGAATATTTTCGTCGAATTACAATTCAATTAGAACGAATAGATGGTATTGAATTTTTATTTTTTGTATAGAAAAGAAATATAGATTTTTTGTTTTTTTTTTAGATATTGAAAAATTACTTATTTCACCTATTATTAATCATCATGGTAATGATATAAAATTTAAACGTACTAATCAAATAATTGATAAAACAAGTTTTTTGTTAAAAACATCAATTATAAATGAACAAGATAAAATTATTTTATCACGTATTGAACTTTATATTCATAGACTTATTAAAAATAATTCAAAAAGTAAAATTTCTGATCTTTCAACAAATACTGAACAAATAATACTTGTTAATTGTAATAATGAAATAGGTAATTATTCTTTGAATTTATCTAAATTTATATTTTCATATTTCTTTTTCGTGTTTTGTTTAGATTTCAATCATGTTCGTCAAGCATATGAATCTAAATCAGAATTATCAGGCAAACATTTTACATTAATACAAATTTATGAATGTGATGCTTTAGAAATTCATTTTAATGATACAAATAAATCTATTACAGTTGATGATTTAAAAATTATTTTTGAATCTGTTTGGAAAGATATATTTGCTTTTAATTTTACAACACATGATTGTGCAGAAATTGAATTTATTAATCTTCATGGTATGAGAATATCATTATAGTTTTATGTATAGAACAATAGAAATTATTAGATTGATTTTCAATATAAAAAATTTTAGAACTTTTCAGTTCTACTTGACAAATAACGACTGATGCAAAAGTCTTGGCACAAATGTCGAGACCTGTAGTATTTCAACAGAAAATGCTAGAGATTTAATTCTTTCACCATTAGATAGACCAAAGTGTCTGCTTTCAAACTCACTTTTTGAAAAAAGCTTTTGATGAAGTTAAGGTTTTCAAATTTTAATTTTTGAAAAACCACTAAAAACGACTTGTAACCATGCGAAATTAGAAAATGTTACGATAACACACCTTTATGTAAGTTTCACAGTTTTTCGCTGTGCTACAAAAATTTAGTAGCTCAGTAGCTACGATTCAAAAACAAAGCTTGGTTCAATCAAACATAGTCTGGCTGAGTTATAAGTGGATTTAATTATGACGAAATTGACGCCAAAGCGCTATTTTGTTCATTAGTAGTATTTAGCTGATTTCCAGGAGATGAAAACGCCTATTCCCAGTTTTTCATATGGATTCTGAAAGGTCTTGAAAAACAGCATCTTTTGGACTAATTAAAAATTTTTGTCTTCCTAAAAATACCTAAATTGCGCACCAAAAACCCAACACTGCCGTGCTTTCGCTTAAAAGCCTGATCGGATTACCATGGATACGCACAAATTTCGGAGTGAGATTTTGAAAAAGCCTACACTTCAGACTTGATTCCCTGGAAGTTTCAGCTCATTATCTATTAATTCGACAAGAATACTGTTGTTTTAAATTAAAAAAAAGCGCGAAAAAGGATCAAAAGTTACAAACCGTTTTTAGTGGTTTTTGAAAATTTGAAATTTGAAAACCTTAACTTCATGAAAAACTTTTTGAAAAAAGTGGGTTTGAAAGCAGACACTTTGGTCTATCTAATGGTGAAAGAATTAGATCTCTAGCACTTTCTGTTGAAATACTACAGGTCTCGACATTTGTGCCAAGACTTTTGCATCAGTTGTTATTTCTATTTCTTTCAAAGCAAATATTTGATCTTTGTTTTTCGATTTCCTAAATCTTGAAAAGAAAAAAACATTAATACGTGGAGTTAGAGATTTATAGTCTTAAACTCGATGATATTTAATATAGAATTATCGAAAATTAAACTAAATACAAATCATCTTCATGTTTATAAAAATGTCTCGAATTTTCCTTTATTTAAGCTTTTAAACAATGGATGTCAACAGTGGAACAAATACAAATTAAATTTCAAGTAACAATTAATCCAATAATTGATAGTGTTGATGAAACTAATGATACAGAAAGTATTAGTTCAATACAAACAATACCAGTTCATATAGATACATGTTTAAATACTCCTGGTAGATTTCATGATAGATCACGTCAAACAACAACAATTAAACTTCGTCCTGAATGGGCTTTGATTGTTAGTCATCCAAAATTTAAACTTGAATACAAAGATTTTATTCGTAATTTATTTTAAATTATTCTTGTCTCTTTTTTCAAAATTAATCTGTTTATAATTTAGATAATGAATGTGGTAGTGAAATTGATATTCATGACGATGAAGTAATATATAATGGTTCATTTCCACGACATGTTCATGACATGAAAACTAATGTTATTCTTCAAGATAAAACAAATGAATTCATGCAAAATTTTGCATGGCGAACACTCTTTAAATTAGAACCAAGAAATATTGAAATTCTTCGAATGAATTCAGCTACTGTAGCATTTACTCGTGTTAAAGATAATGATTATATGGTAGGAACAAAATTACATGATATATCAGGATTTATACGTAAACTTTTTGCTAAAAATAATCAATATTCTCAATTTGAACAATCACATTTGAAAATGAATATTCCGTCAAATAATAAGTAAGTATTGTGAAAAATTTTACTCGATTATCATTCGAATAAAATCATCAAAGATCTGGATTTACATTTGTTAAGAAATATTACTTTTAATACTTTATGAACAGTAAAGTAATTCAAAAGTTAACATAGAAATTCATCTTTAATTTTTTTTAATAATCTTGTAATAATCTAATCGATACCTGTCTACATACGCATAAAATATCACATCCGAAGACTATTTCCTTGTAACTTAGTTAGAATCGAAATTCTTTGTTAAATTATCTTCTCATTTACATACTACTCTTATTTAAATATGTGATAGTTTCATATTGGCTAACACAGTTGGTATCGATCACCCAACTCTTTTGATTTGAACTGAGTTTGTCTGAAAACGTAATTTTACTCTCTCCTATATATTTCTGACAGCTCCACGTCAGCTCAAGCAATCTAAAATGGAACTTTCACGAAATAAATTGAATACAATAAATGTGATATTCAATAATCTAACTCGTATGAAAATATCAAAAGAGCTGGTTACTAATTTTTTTTTCTTGATTAATCTTGAGTTACGAGTTCGTATTCTGCAAATAAAATGTAAATTAATTTAAGTAAAGATTTCTTATCACACTGATCTTATTTTATTTTCATATCAAACTATATTGACATTTCTCTATTTGTATTTTTTTAGTTCATCATCATCTCTACCTACAAAATCAAAAATAATTGAAAAGTATTTTATTTTCTTATAAATTCAATTTAATATATAAACTTATATTAATTTTATTTTAGATCTTATAATACACCTGCTATATCATCAATTACATCAACTTCTATGTATACTATTAATACACCAGAACAAATAAGTATGTTTTCAATAGATACATTTGAAGATCGTCTACGAGAATATCTTCAAGAAACATTTAATGTTCAAGTAACATTTGAACGAACTAATAATAATAATAATAATAATGAAAAAACTAAAGGATTAACAAATTGTATTTTTATTAAATTAATTGGTCAAAAGGATGATATTGAAAATGCAACTAAAGATTTATGTAATTTATTTTTATCAATAAAAACGAAAATATTTAATGATAAAACTAGTAAGAAGAAGATTAAGATTTCTTTTTTTTTCATTTAATTAATAATAAATTTTAGATAGTAATTGGACAAAAATTGAAGAAGCAATAGAAATTATTCAATATCATTTTAAACTTAATAATCTAATTTGTACATGTCAACAAATATCTTCAACAATAGTTTATATTCATTATTTTAATATAACAAATCCACAATTTGGTATTGATGAACAAAAAATTGAAGATTTAATTCAAGAACTATTTAGATTAGTTACAATAAATTATAATCAACAATCATCAAAATTTACAAAAGATTGGATAGATTTAGAAAATATAATTCATCAACGAGATGATTATAAAAAAAATATTTGTTTATATAAAGAATTAAATACGATTTATCTATTTGGTTTAACTGAATTAGTTAAAGAATTTTATCAAAAATTTCAACAAATTACAAATAAATATAATCTACAATCATGTAAAATTACTCTATCAGAAAGACAAGTATGAATTATGAAGAGATTATTTATAATTAACTTTTCAGAATGTCCTTCAGAGATAAGAAATCATGAGATATTTTCTCGTATAAAATAGCATGAATCCTATGTTTTTTGTCGAACGACACTTTAGTCGATAGACTTTTCGTCGAAGTAACTTTGTCGAAAAATTTTTGTCGAAAAGCATTTCGTCGAAAAACATTTCGTCGACAAGACATTTTGTAGAAAAGCATTTCGTCGAAAGTGAATTACTTTCTTTTTTATCTCACCGTCAGGAGACAAGTTCAAAAGTATCTCCTAATTAACTTTGTCCCTTTGGCGAAGATGGAAGAATTTCAGGGCACTATTGAATAGAATTACATGCTTTTCGTCGAAAAAAACTTCAAGGCAAGGTTTGCAGCTCCCGAGACAGTTCCAGATCCTTCAATTCTTCTACAGAACTGTTCAGAGTTAAGAGAACAATGAATTTTCTCTCACACTCATGTTTGTAGTGCTGTTGTCCTCACCCTCACATTCAGAGTGCCTTGTATGGCTCTTGTCTTCACAGTCGTGCTCACTCTCACTCACCCTTACCTTCACCGTCATGCTCACCCTCACATTTAGAGTACGCCTACATGGTCCTTACCCTCACCTTTACATTTGGAGTACTCTCCATAGTCAAGAAAATACTTTCGACGAAAAACAGATATCTATCTGAGTTTATTGATGAAGTGCTTTGTCGACGAAGTGTCGTGTCGACGAAATGTTTTTCGACAAAAATTTTTCGACGAATAACATGATTACCAAATAGCATATAATCAAGATTAGACATACATCCCAACTATTTGAGTTTCTTTTGTCTGAACGAAGAGAAATGTCCTTATCTGCTGAACCACATGAATGAGGTACGGTCGGTTTCAGCGTTTTTCCCAGAGATTTTACGCCAGAAATCCACGAATCTATGCACTGGAATCATTGACCTGGAGAAGTGCGGATACCGGTGGATAAAAAATTTACCGAGACAGGATTGGGGCTCGAACCAAGAAAAATAAGTCCTGCATATCTTTATAAATGACACAATATTTTTCCGTCGGTAGCAAAATTCAAGCTGAAGAATGATACTAGAAAATGTTTTCGATAACGTTGTTCTTTCATTTTAGCTCAAATATTTAACACATGTTGCCAAAGCTGATTTAATTAAACTTGAAAAACAATATAAATCAGATGGATGTGATATAAGTTTAAATCGTTTACGTTATAATTGTGAATTTATTGCACCACCAGATATGCATTCAAAAATCAAAGATAGTCTTGAAATATTAACACAAATACATGAGACTTCATTTGAAATAGATGAACCTGGTTTTGAAACACTCGTTAGTCAAGGATTAGAACGACTTCTGACTATCGTGAAATCAAAATGTTTTCTTGAAAAAACTATTGAAACTCGTCGTATTCATATTTCAATACCTAAAGCTCGGATAGCAAATTTCAACGATGAAATTCAACAAACTCAAGATACTAGTACAACTGCTAAGGCATTATCAAATATGACAAGTGTTAATATTGGCCATTCAACAGTAACGATTTTGATTGGTGATTTAACAACACAAGCAGTAAGTTTTATTAATCATTTCTAAAATAAAATTTGAGTATCTGTAAAAAACTGTGGACAGCTGTTCTAAGCTACACTTTTTGTTTCCAATTGAAAAATATCATTTTTAGTGGACGTGTTTTGATTTTTACTTGTACAAAATATTTCATATTGAGATAAGTATTGTTATCTTTGATAATTAAAACCAATAGTTTCTCGCAGGTTTTACAAGTGTCCAAAACTTATCCTTTGTTACTTTCATATTTAGCTGTAAAAATTAAAGCAATCATGTGTAGAGCTCATCGGACTGTACTTTAATACTAGCTAATGATATTTTCTGATCGGAATTAGATAGTCATACGAGATACTTTTCCTTGCGGTGTTTTATATTCGATGACTAGTGCATCCTACGGATTTCTCAGACTACCAGAGTCTACGATTTCCGGACCCTAACCCGAAACCAACTCGATGGACTCTAACTATGGATGTCAATGTCTACGAAAAATAATACATTCTAGTTAAAATCAAAAAGTGCAGCTGAGAATGACTGTCGATGTACTATTCGTTTCGAACTCGATATGATTTTTCAATCTTCGCGATGTCCGTAGAATCCATAAAGTTTTTTGATTAGATTTACTATTTTATTATTTTAATTTGTATTAACGGGTGGTCCAGAATAAATTGTCCTCTTAGTATTTTTGAATTTTCTTCTCTATTATCCCGGTGATTGAAACACTCTTTTTTAACAAAAGATAGCGCTTGAAATTCCCTACAAAACCATATATAACTAGATCCTAAAACTATTTTAGGTATATTTGAAAAAAGTTGAAAAATAAAGATGCACAAAAAGCTGTAAAATATAACTGGTTGGATATAATGGATGGACGTACTTGCATCTAATGTTTTTATTACTTCACCCTATTTAAGAACAAAAAATATATTAAAAGATGCAGCGCGAAAAGCTCTACAATTTACGAAGAACAAATTATAAAAAAAGGGGGAGTAAAAAAATAAATTCATTTTGTATCAAAAAAATTTATCATTTTCGTGCGGTCGAAATTTGATCAATAAAAATTTTGTCCATCTTGAAAATAAACCATTGCAGTTATAAAATAAGTGGTCGTATATGAATTGTAGAGCTTTTCACGCTGCATCTTTTGGTATATTTTATTCTTAAATAGGGTGAAGCAACTGATGAAAAAATGGGCTGGAAAGTACAACCAGTTATTATGTCCAATGCGTTACATTTTACAACTTTTCGTGCGTCTTTATTCTTCACTTTTTTCAAATATATCTGAAACAGTTTTAGAATCTAGTTATATACCGGGTGTTCCAAAAGTTTTGCAACATTTTGTATTGTGCATATATCTCGACATAGATAAATGATAGAACCTTGATTTTTTTTAAAAAGATGCGCCTTGAAAAGCTCTACAAAAAATGTAAGAACAAATCCTTATTGACTTGTTCTGATGATGTCTCCTATACTTAAAATGAATAGGTCAGATGATGGTCCTATGTCCCATGGTATTAAGTATTTGGAAGACTATTTTTGTTTTGCAAATATTTCGCCTTGAGAAAATGACAACACCTTGACTTTTTTTTCAAAAGATGCGCCATGAAAAACTCTACAAAAACTGTAAGAACAAATCCCTATTGACTTCGTCAAATATTGTCTCCAATACTCAAAATGAACAGGTCACATGACGGTGTTATGTTCCACCGTAATTAGTATAACAACAATATTTGGGAGACTTCTTTTTATTTTGCGAATATCTCGACTTAGGAAAATGATAACGTCTTGATCTTTTTTCCAAAGATGCGCCGTCGAAAGCTCTACAAAATCTGTATGAGCAAGTTCCTATTGCGAAACAAAAATAGTCTTCCAAATACTTAATACCATGGGACATAGGACCATCATCTGACCTATTCATTTTAAGTATAGGAGACATCATCAGAACAAGTCAATAAGGATTTGTTCTTACATTTTTTGTAGAGCTTTTCAAGGCGCATCTTTTTAAAAAAAATCAAGGTTCTATCATTTATCTATGCCGAGATATATGCACAATACAAAATGTTGCAAAACTTTTGGAACACCAGGTATAGCTTTGTAGAGGATTTCAAGCGATATCTTTTAATAAAAAAATATTTTTAATGAAAGGGATAATAGAGGAGAAAACTCAAAAATACTAAGAGAGAAATTTACTCTGGACCACTCGTTTATTATGATTATTTCATTATAGGTTGATGCTATCGTAGCTTGTTCTTCATCACAATACTTATGTAAAACAATTATTAGTCAAGCTGGTATTCAAGTACAAAATGAATATAATCTTCTGAAAGCATCTGATCAATTTCCTGATACAACATCCGGTGGTACATTACCATGTAAAAAAATTCTTTTTATTCCATGGTCACCAAACTCTCGTGATCCAACGGATGTTAAATCATCTTTAAGTACATTTATTTCAACAGCATTTACGCTTGCTATCTCAGTAGGAAGCAAAAGTATTGGTTAGTTTAAATAAATTATATATATCGATTTTCTTTTTTTATTGTTGTATTTAATTATACAATTTTTTCCTTTTTGCAGCATTTCCAGCTGTTGGTTGTGGAAAATTTCATTTTGATCCATCAATCATAGCTAAATATATGTTACATGAAACAAGAAAACAATTGACAAAATATAAAATAAAAATGAATATTTCATTTATACTTTTACCTATTCAACAAAATGTTTATGATGAATTTATAAAATATCTTAATCAAATGCAAACTGTAGATCTAATGGTATCATATAAAAATTTAATGAAAAAACAAGATGATCAATCAACAATAGCATATGATAAAAAAAGTAGAACAAAAACGATTGTTTTCTTTAATTTCAATATTTTATATTTTATTTAGTTATTAAAATAACATTAATTAGTACAAATGATAATTATTTAATGAAATGTAAACAAGAAATTATTGATTTAGCACGAATATTTTCAATAAAATCAAAATTAACAAATAAACATGATATGTTGGATTGGTCACAAAATACAATTAATAAATATTATGAATATTGTTTAAAACAAGGTGTTATACCAACACTTGATTTTGAAAATGTTACAATTGAACTTATTGGAACAAAAGATACAGTAATATTTTAATATGATTCGATTCTTTTTTTTTTTTAATAATAATTTTTAGGTACATGAAGCTGAAAAATATTTTTATGAATTAACAAGTGAAACATTTAAAGAAGCACGTATTCATGCTGTTGCACGTAATGTTATTTGGTCAGTTGAATTAATACCTAATTCTGATCAATGGGAACAATATTCATTTAAACTTAATGGAATTATTGAAGATGCTTTTTTGAAAGAATATCATCATGTATGTAGATGTTTAATTAATAGAAGAAGATATTTGATGTAGAATGTTCTTCTCAAGAAGGAACTACCAGAAGTAATTCTTGCCATTTGATCTCATATTAGGTTAACAGAGAAGGTCTCACGAGCGAACCTTCCAAGGTGCTAAAAAGCTTTTGAGCCCGAATTTTATCCATAAGTAGGGGATATATAGACTAGAAAAAACCTAAGATGATATCGGTCCAAGTTGCAATTTGCCTGAGATATCAGCTTTTTACTAGAATTTTCCTATAGGATCCCATTTTCCCGATAAGATGAAAGCTTCGAGTTTTGAAGTGAAATTTTGCCCGTATCAAGATCTCAACTAGAGTGACTTACAGGTGTTTGCAAAAAAACGTGCACAAAATTCAATATTTCTTTTAAACGTTTTTCTAGTCGTTAGAAGCAGTTAGACAGTTCATTTTTCTACCGATGAATCATCGATAGATATACTATACATTGAGCATATAAAAGCGTGATTTCTTTCCTTTCTGATATAAAGAAATACAAGAAAATTTATCGAAAAAGTGCCAAAAGTCAGTATCTACTTCAACAATAAGTCGTCATCTTCACGAATATGACTATAGAAATGTTTTACCACATACTGTAAAAAATTGTCTAATGTCGATGAAAAACAGATGTTTGTCTCTTATTGATGATAAAGGTGAACGAATAAAATATTGAACTATGATAATTGACATTACTCGTCATTAACTATCAAAAATACAATTGATGAACTCCAACATTTTTCAGATGAAAAAGTCAAAAATGTTGAAATTTCGATTATAATGTTTTTTCTTGCGGCGGAGAAAAAGAGATGTTTGTCTTATTTTTCTTCTATAAGTGAACAGATCGAATATCAAATTATAGTGTCGCATAGTATTCGTCATGGGCTATCCACCACACTATAAAAGAATTCGAAAAACAGTTATATACAAAATAATATCCGTAGAAGAAGTTGTGCAAGTTTTTTTGCAAACACTTGTATCTACAAAGTTTCAAAGTTTTTAGACTAAGCATTACCGAGATATGAGTCTGTTATCATGAATACGCTTTTTACAGATATCCTTTTACGCATAGATATTTTGAAAATATTATATCTCGGTAATGCTTAGTCTGAAAACTTTGTAAATAAGCCACTCTAGTTGAGACCTTGATATGGGCAAAATTTTACTTCAAAACTCGAAACTTTCATCTTATCAGGAAAATGGTGTCCTATAGGAAAATTCTAGTAAAAAGCTGATATCTCAGCCAAATCGCAACTGAAGCCGATACCATCTTAGGCTTTTTCTAGTCTATATATCCCCTACTTATGGACAAAATTAGCGCTCAAGAGCTTTTTAGCACCTCGGAAGGTTCCCCCGTCAGTAAGACTAAAAAGGTTCGTGCCAATGAGCTTCTGCAGCTAAGTCATGACCATTTTACTAATTTTTCGATCTGAAATTTTGCCCATAAATAGATCAAATGACTGATAGAATCTCTTGAAAATTTCAGCCGAACGGAATGTTCCTGTGTCAAGATATTGAATATTCAAGTTATTTCGTTTCTTGTGGCAAATGAATATTTTTTGAAAATTCAAGATCTCAACAAAAAAATGTTCTTTTCAGCTCAAGTTTTCAGAATATTCTACGAGTCAGTCGACTTATTTATGGATGAAATTCTAGAAAAATGATCATAACTCAGCTTCAAAGGTTCATGAGTATGAATTCTTTTAGAATTTCGATTCCATAAATGGTAAAAGTTTTAATTTTTTTGAGAAATGAATTAAGAGAGAATCTTCTATTATATTCAACGCATTGTTCTTCAAAGAGTTATTCTCGGTTCTATGTAGATAGTATTCAGAAATTAAATAGCAAAAGTATTTGATCCATAATGTTTTCTTTCGGATTAATTTGTCATTTTATGAATTAATCTATTTTCCTATTCTAGATAGATTTTCAAAATGATCAAGACGAGAAATGTCGAATAATTTTTTCTGCAATGGAAGAACATCATGGAACAAAGATTCGTCGTATACGTCGTAAACCTGTTGATTCAACATTACCAGATGTTAGTAAATTTTTTTGTTTTTTTAATATAAATAATGAAAAATTATTTTTTCATTTAAGACATGGGAATCTTCAGATCAAAGGTGTAAACGAGTACTATTACAGCCATCATCAGCAGAATATCAAAATGTACTTGCACAATTTCATGTTACAATGCTCGGTAAATATTCGAAAATTATTAAAATCGAACGTATTCAAAATGAACGATGGTATAAGCAGGTAAAGGATTCATATCTATGTAGAATTAGTTCATTTTCGACTAATAAAAAAGACAACTAGTTAGAACCAGAAGTAGTTAGTTACAATCAAAATGTTTTTGCTCTTACTATCAATAAATTTTGTAAAAAAAGTACAATGCAAAATAGCAGTTTTGACGCAGTCTTTAGTTTATAACTCGGCACAGCTTCAACTCAATATTATTGTAAAGCACTGAATTCTGTATAAAATGAGATATTACAATAAGTAAAATATAATCTATGAATTTCCACTAAACAGTTACAATTCATTAAAAATATCAATAGATTTGGCTGTATCGTGGATAATTCGGGCATGCAGGTTTCAATGTTTAAAAACAGAAATTACTTTATCAAACCATATAAAAACCAAGCAGTAATCGGTCATCAGTGATGATTTTCTAAATAATGCTCATTAAAATTTTTCCATAATATATTGACTTTCGAGATAGTCATTTGGTAGAGAAAGCCAAGATTGAATTCTCCTGATGGTTCCTTTGCCATGTTATAAACATTTTTCTGAGGAACTCGAAATCGATTAACTGATTAGTGATTAGTCTGAAATAGAGCCCGTCGGGTTGTCGTCACATCCGATGGACGCTAGTCACCGAATACAAAAAAAACTCGAGAAAAATGTATCTCGTATCTTCACGGCGACTATTAAATTTCGTTGAAAATATCGAAGTATGAGTTCAGATCCAAAAATTTTGAACCCGACAGGCTTTAATATGACATGAGCTGATATACAAGGCTTTGATCATGTTGAAACGAATGGTTGTGCTTTTTTATTTTTTTTAAAGTAACATGAAGTTATGAAAATGCATTGTTCTCACATTAATATTTAATTATTTCAAATAATCTTATGATAGTTGTTAAGCAAGCGAAATAATGAGTGAAGATTTTGTGTCAAGACGACTTTCACGTCATAGATTATTAAATATTTTATTTTGAATAGTATACTGCACATCGTGATGATTTTAAACGACGTTATTCACAAATAAATGAACGTTTACTTTTTCATGGATGTCCTAGTACATCAGCCGATCAGATTATTCGAGAATGTTTTAATCGATCATTTGCCGGTGTTAATGGTAAATCAAAAATTTATCTTATATAATCAAAATAATATCTTTCTTTTAGGTGTTAAATATGGTTGTGGAGTATATTTTCATGCTCAAGCTAGTTATAGTCATCAGTATGCACAATTGAATAGTACTGGTGAAAAAACAATATTTTTAGTACGTGTTCTTATTGGAAAAACATGTAATGGAGATAAAAATATGAAAGTACCTCCATCTGGTTATGATACAACTACAGATGGACAACATATTTTTGTGGTATATCATGATGCTGGTGCATATGCAGATCATTTAATTACTTATCAATGAACATTTGTTGTTTTTTTTTCTTCCAGTTTAAGAATGTGAATTTTTAAGCCTCCCCCCCCCCCCCCCCCCTAAAAAAAGTCAATTTTCGTCAAATTTTTCGAAATTGAGATAACCGCATGGGAAGATAGCCCGTCTTCAGATCTTTCGGAAACAATATGATTTTTAAGCCGACACTCTCGTTTCGGACAAGATTTTTGTTGATTTCCGTTAACGTCTTCTTGAAAAAATATGCTTTTTTCGTTTTGTCTCGATTTATGATTTTTTGATCTTGGTATAAAGATTTCTCAGTCCAGGTTCAGTAAATATATTTAAATTTCTTTTTTTGTTTGAAACAACGCGTCGAGATGCAGGTCACCATAGAGCCCTTTTTTTAATTAAGCTTTGTTTTTTATTGGGTGTACGCACATAGACACTCATTTTTGGCGCTTTTTTTGAGTCATTGCACTTGTGATCCCATTTTTCCGCTAAAAAAGTAAGAATTTAAAAAAAAGGACTCTATACTGCACTGCATCTCGACGCGCTCTTTCCAACAAAAAAAAATGTTAATATATTTACCCAGCCTGGACTGAGAAATCCTTGTACCAAAATGAGCTATTTTTGACCCTTGTTTGGTTTATATCTCTGTTAAATCCCAGTGAATCGAGCTGAAAATTTTACCACAGCCTCCCCACTTCAGCCCCAACATATGCTCAAAATTTCAGCCCATTTGAACGTTTCTGGGCTGAGATCGATTTTTGAGGGGGGGGGGGGGCCTTAAAAAAAAATTTCTACTTGTTATTTTTCTTCTTCTAGTCGTTAATCTTTGTGACATTTACCAAACAATTTATATAAAACAATATGAAATAATGTTTACTTTTTTAGAAGTCATATCATTTATATTTGTAAAAAGAAAAAGAATCAATGGCGACTGCATTTGATTTATTTGATGAAGTTTTACATGCATTTGATAATTCACATCGAAATGAAATGACATTTATTGAATTACATAATATATTAATCAATCGAAATATAGATATAACGACTGATGAATTAATTCGAGTAATTCGTTCGCCAAGTCTTTTAAATCTTTTTAATCTTCAATCTATATCAAATGATTTATATTTAATACAATTGAAACCAAAAGTAAGAATATATTTATTAGAAAGAACTTCGACGGATTTGATGATCTATCTTAAACCATGATATTATACAATGTGCTTTTGTCGAGCAATTCGCGGCAGTGTATAATGTAGGTGTGAGTATTCTCTTCTCTTGCGCCGACACCCACACTCGAAATTGTATACTATCAAGCTTTATATATTTCATAGATGACATCTTTCAGAACAGTAGGGACTCATTGGTAATTTTTATTTGTATTTCAAGCATCCAGGTTTGATTTATGCACGAAATTCTAAAAGAATCTATAAATATCTTATGTTAATTTCAAAAAATAAATTTCTCCATAGTTCCATACTCTCCTCGAGAAATCTCGGAGGCCAAAATTTTTTTCTCTATTTTTATACACGAGTTATGTAAATCAGTTCATTGGGAACGTTGTACATAAAATTTTTTAATAAAACCGTTGAATACTGTTAAAATATCATTGATATACTGTGCTCATCATACAGGAGAATAAGCTATTCTTACAAGTTGACAATCAGTTGCTGCTGTTCTGAAACATATAGAATTCAATAGTACATTTATATTCACTGGTTCTGTAACATAGAGTTGAATACACTAGAAATGATCTAGACCTACGAATAAGGGCCAGTTTTAAGTATGAAAATTATTGATTACAGAAAATTGAAGAGCACTAATAATTGTATTGAAAATTGAGTTTAAAAATAAACTTTCCATAAGTTTATCTTAGAAATCACAATGTCTATGATTTATATACCATTCGATGCACCACAAATTGCTCTACAAAACTACATATATGATATCCTGCATTAAATCTAGTCGAATTCTTCCATTTGATAAACTTAATTTTGTTTTTTTTTCTACCTATATAGTTAACTCTTTGTGAAGCTTGTTTACAAAAAGGTTGTAAAAATAAAATGAAATGTACAAAATTACATTTATGTCGTTATATATCTCATTTTTCAAATAAGCCACTAGAAAAACCTTGTTATTATCCACATAAACTTAGTGATCATATGAATAATAATATTCTATTACGACGATTTAATTATGATATATTAAATGAAAATCTTCTTCTTAATTTACTTCGTCATTATTATAAAATGAATCATGAACAAGTAGAACAGAAATTTTTTATTTTTTGATTTATTTCTAAAATAATCATTATTTCTAGTCTCGAATAGAAAATCATATTAATTCCAATCGATCATTATCTTCTCAATCTAGTCGTATTAATTCAAATAATATTCAAGGAAAACAACGAATTTTACAATCTGTTCAATCAAGACCATTATCACAACTAAATAAATCATCTATATTAATAGATAAAGCTATTGAACGACAATTAGATATTAGTATTCCATCAGAACAAGATGCACCAGATATTGATCTTGAAATTATTGAACTTATTTTAGCAACAAAAAATATAATTATCGAACGAACATTAGAAAAACAAGTGTCAAATGAATTCTATCGACGATATACATTACAATTTAACAATAAACAAGGTAATTAATAAATTAGAATAAGAAAATTCTTTTTTTTTAAACAATATTCTATCTTTATTGACATAAAAAAAAAACTGTGGAATTCACATGGGGATATGCTCTTTAGTCTCACTATACTAATACATTATTTCTAATTAATTTAGAACGAAAAAATTTTTCTTTTTTCTGATTATTAATTTTTATATTTGATTTTATTAGTTATTGATAATATACTTCAAAATGAACCAATTATAATGTATAATAATATACCAATAAAAATGAAACGAACTATACGACAACAAGATAAAAAAATATTTGCACTTAAATTTAAAACTAATCAAAAAATTGATAGTATACGATTAAATTTATATGTTGAAACACTTGTTGGAAAAGTTCATCCAAATATATTTGATATGACAAACGATGATAATGATGAACAAATATATCTTATTCGATGTGAACAACCTATTGGTTTGTATAATTTATTATTAAAATAAATTTTAAAGAAAATTTCTTTTCTTTTCTTTTTTTTTAGATTTCGAACATTTATATAAAGTACATTCAGCAAAAAATACTTTACAAGGTTATCGTATAACTATTCTTAAAGTATATGAAACAGAATCTCTTGAAGTTTCATTTGTAAATGATTCATATCATAAATCAATGAGTATATCACGATTACGTCAATTAATTGGTGAACATCGTTGGCAACAAGATGTTTTTGCTTGTCTTTGTATTCGAAATCAGACTAGTGCTGAAATTGAATTAATAAATGCTGAAGGTTGATTTATCCAATTTACTTAACATTTTAAAAAATATTTTGTTATATTTCTTTTTAGTCACAGCAAAATGGTTATCAGAAGCAAATAGAATCGAAGAAGATATGTCTCTTGCTATTCATCCGATTATTGATTTTATTCAATCATCGGAAAAAAATGAAGATGATGGTGATGATGAAGAAATAATAAAACTATTTACTACATCAAATATATCTTCTCCTTTAAGTGTATCAAATGATTCACAAAAAAGTGAAAATGAATCTGGTCTTTATACAATTAAATCTGATTGGCGTATTGTTCTTACACATCCAGTATTTGGTGATGAATATAGAAAATATATTCGTAATTATTTCTCATTATTGTATTTCTTTAATATATGATTATTTTGATTATTTAGGTGAAAATTTAAATATTTCTGCTAATATAACTGGTTCATCAATTCAAGTACCTAATGAATATATTCGTAAAGAATTAGCTCGTTATACAAATATGTTTATTCAAAAATTTATCTTTCAAGAATTAAGTAATTTAGATAAAATACAAGTTAAAATAATAAAAAATAATTATTCAAGAATGGCACATAAATGGCAAAAAGATACAAATACAACATTAATTGCTGCACGTCGTGATATTATGAATGAAATTTTTCCAAGTCTATCTTCATCTAGTCGACAACAAAATAAATTAATATCTACACCAATATTTTCAAATAAACAATCGCCAACTTCTAGAAAACAAGAACAACAATTAATATCACCAATTAAAGAGTATTGAATTTTTATTTTTATTTTATTTTAATTATAATCTTTATAATTAGAACACTTATATCTCAAACAAAATCATCTGAAGATTATAGTCAAATACTTTCTTATCCAATTGAAAATAGTGTTTATTTTCCTTTTTTTACTTCATCAAATCCATTTTCGGATCGTCTTACTACTTATCTATTAAATACATTTAATGTTAAATTAGATATAAAATCTATTTCATCAGTAAAAATTATACTTGAACTTAAAGGTCAACATAAAGATATTTCTGATGCTCGACCTTCTTTAACAAATTTATTTGCATCATTAAAAACAAAAATTTATTCTGATAAGAATGATTGTATGTTTATTAATTTTGATCTTTTAAATGTTTTGTTTTTAAAAAAATTTTTATTATTTAATTTAGCTTGTAAATTTTCTATACCTGATATTTATCGTGTAGTACAATGTAAATTTGATCAATGTTCAATTATATCATCATGTAGTTATTCAACAAAAAATAATGGTAGTTTATTAATAAGATATTTTGCTAATAATCCACAATTTGGTATTGATGAACAACAAATTGATGATATTATACAAAATAATCTTTTTAATATTTCATATCATGTTTTAATAACAAGTAAAAAACTTGAAATAAATTTTGAAGAATTACAAAAAAAAATTCAACAAAGATCTGATTATGGACAAGATATATGTTGTTTATATAATTATCGAAAAGGATCAACAGAAAGAATTTGTTTACCTTCGATACATTTATGTGGAACAGAATCTATTGTTCGACAAATTTATCAAGAAATTAAAAGAATTGCTGATGAATATACACCAACACTATGTAATATACAATTGACATCAAATCAAGTGTGTACTTGTTATGTTTCATAAACTTTAATCTTTCGAGGACAGTACAAAGATGTTCCAAGCCGAAGGTCATCCCTTTCAATATTGAGATATTTCCTCTGACTTTTTATTCGTTCTTTTGTTTACCTATTCTCAATCCCTACAATCTTGGGACACTTTTGGAGAAGTTCTCCAACTGATAGATCACTTTTAAATCTTGGAATACTGCATTTTTATGATACTTTTCAAATGAATGCTGTAGTCCAGAAAAAAAAACTGATTTTCGAATTTCGACTTGAAACTTTACATAGAGACAGACTTTAATAAGAGCAGTTTATTGTGAAAGTTTCAGATCTTTTGATTTGCTTCTATCCGGTAATAGAAACAGTGAATCTGTTGTTATATGTAAGCGATATAAATGACACCTTGCTACCATAGCTGTATCTTAGGATACGAACAGCAATAAGATCTGAAATATTCACAAAAAATTATTCTCGTTGAAGACTGTCCCTATGTAAAGTTTCAAGTGGAAATTTGAATATCAAGTTTTGAGGTATTTCTGAGGGGTGGGGGGAAGGGGCTACGGTATTCATTTGAAAAAATATCGTAAAAATGTAGTATCTCTGCAGCAATATGCTAAAGGTACGAACTCTTTTCAGTCTATTCATAACTCATTTAGGTCTACATGATGCACATAGTCTTATAACGCAGCTCACGCAAGGACTTTTCAAGATCACATCTTGTGTTTCAAGTGAGACACATCTCTTTTGGTAGGATCGATTGAGACTAGAAAGATTAATCCTCACGTGCTATCCGTCTGTAGTTATGGTTGTTTCATTAGACTTTTCATGCTTGACACAGTATTTATGAGCAAGCGCTGTTTGACCTGAGATTCCGTTCATAGGTCTATCTGTTTTTGTGGATTCGAAATCTCAATAAGAAATTAATCTTTTTAGCTGAGAGTTTTTGAAGATCCAAATGGTCTTAAGAACTAGCCGCCATGGCTCAGTGACTACATAGTTTAACAAGTATTCACAAGATACTGTCTTAAGACCTCGATATCATCAATCATGGGGTGATCTTAGACAAGTCACTAACGACTGTTTGTCTCCAATTACTTGTCCAATACATCCAGCTTTCTATTTAGAGCTACAGCTAGTAGTTGTTGTAGGGAAAATATCACACTATTAAATCTAACTCTAGGCAGTATCCTATACCCCGAAAGGCAAGGTTATTCTTCCTAAGAGCTATTTTTGAACAATGTTTCATAAATCCAAGAGGATAACACATAAGGATGAATTCTAGCTAATGATGAGCGTTCCATGAGATGTTACATGGAAAGATTCTCTTGTCAGAAATTTCATAGTACAACTAATACACTTTTCTAATATGACCTATCTTCAATAGAACTGTATCAAAGCTGAACATAAGATCATTATATTTTTAGGTTAATTTTTTATTACATATCTGTTCAGCTGATTTGATTAAATTTGAAAAAGAATATGAAACTGATAATATAGATTTACGATCAACATTAAAAATTGATACAACAAGTCAATTTTTAGCACCGAAATATTTACATGAAAAAATAAAATTATTTTTATTTGAAATGAGTCAAATACAAATGTTATCAAAAGATATTAAATGTTCAATACAATTAATTAATAATAAAAAACAAGAATTTAATGATTTAGCACTTAAAAATCATTGTCTACTTTCAATAACACCAACATCATCATCATTATCACAATCAACAACATCTAATCGAATAATACCAAACACTACAAAAATTAGTTCAGGAACAATTAATGTATCATATGGTGATCTAACAACAGAACAAGTAAAGTACTTTCTTCAGATCGAAATGAATGCATTTCATAGAGAGATTTAGAGCACAATTTTTGAGAAAATTTCAATCTTATTCTTTATGATATATATATAGGAGAAAAAGCTATTGCACTAAAGAATTCATATCAATGGTACTCGGAAATCCCATATTTTTTCACAAGAATGATCTTAAGTATCAACTATCGATATGTATTTTGTAGAGCAAAATAAGATGCATTTGTAAATATTGTACAAACTTAGAAAGAAGTATTTGATGTAAAAAATACATTGAAGCACGTACGCTTACTTTTGATATAGGTTTGAATCATTTGTTACGGAAACTAGATTAACGACCTAACCCAGCAGAGTCCTTAGAAACTAGAAAAAAATTCAGATTTTCTTTTTTGTATTTTTATATAGTCTGAAGTTCTTGTGATTTGTTCATCATCTAAGGAACTGCGCGATTCGGTAATTAAAGCAGCTGGAAAACAAATTGTACAAGAACTAAATGGAAAAGATCTAAAAAAAGATGTAACTGATACGTCTGTTGGCAATTTAAAACAAGCTAAACGTCTTCTTTTTTTACCTTGGGAACCACCATCAACACTTATTACTAATCAAAATATTGATGCACTTTGTCAATCGATTTTGATATTTATTCAACAAGCAATTCAATATACTATTCAAGAAAAATTTAAAAGTATTGGTATGTAGTTTTTATTTTTAATTGATAAGTATATATTTTTGATTGAAATGATTAACTTATTCTAGCATTTCCTGCTATTGGATGTGGTGGTTATGGAATACCAGCAGATATAATTGCTACAATTATGATTGATTCAGTTCGTCAACAACTCAATGCTAATCCAGCTACTCAATTAGTGATTACATTTGTTGTACAACAATCAAATGTATTTGATGTTTTTAATGCTAAACTTCAAGATACATCGACAATTACAACTAATAATCGTACTCGTTCTTCATCATTATCTTATTTATCAAATCAAGAAAGTTAGTATATATATTTGTTTGATTAAGAAATATTTATTTTTTCTGTATTTTATTTTAGAATTTAATATAAGTCTTATAACATCTAATTTTAATATTGATATAGCCAAGAAACTATTAGCAAACATTGAAAATATTCTTGCTTCATCGATTTCTACTTAACAATCAATCTAGAGAAGAAGAAAAATATTTTGTTTTATTTTTATTTTGAATGTGTTTGCTACATGTAAGAGGTTATATTATTAATGATCAAAATTCGTTTTTATATGTGAAATAATATGAAATTAATCATGATAAAAACAAGACTTTTTATTGATCTGAATAAATGGAAGAAAAAGCATATTTATGTATTCATCATATTTCTTCTTGCTTCCAAAAAAGGGTGTGGAATGTGAAGACGTGAGTGTGGGTGTGCTTGTAGATGTGAGTATGGTAGAATTCAAGACTCACACCCACACCCACTCATCCATACCCTTTTCCTCCATCAATAGCAAATTGGTCCAAAAATAGAGTCGCATTTTGAAATTTTCACTTTGAATTAAATGGATGCGATATTCAGAATCAGCATAAAACACTATATCGATCAGTGTATATTTTGCGGGTGTGAAGGTAGGTCTTCTATTGTTCAACACCCAGACCTTCCACGACCGATTCTCTTATACGATCGACGTGCATATACACATACACATATATATGTATATTTATGCATGCACAACTCATAGAAATATTCTTTTGCTACTTGTGAATAAGTAGTCACCTTGAGGGCCACTTTACTCGTTTGCACACGATCCATTTAACAGAACTGTACGTAATTCTATTGCATATGCAAACGGGAGAAATGAACCATTTTTTTCACACTAATTTATGCTGATGAAAGAAAAAAAAACAAATCAACCTGAGTCGATATATAAGAAAGATATTTTATAAAACGAATATATTTGGATGATAAGGTCACCAATGGAGAACAATTCACGAAAATATGTTCGCTTGTTGAGTGAACAATATCAGAACTATGGTTACATGAATGATGTAGATAATGAGACACCGACAACCATCGTACCAACTGTGGCAAGTCCGAAGAAGAATTTCCTTCGTCAAATCTCAATGGAAGCTGAACAAAAAATCGATCAAACAGAACTCGTTAGTGGAATTTTACAAGGACCAACATTCACTCAAATGATATCTGTGAATGAAAACGAAACTATCGACCAACATACCAATATTATCATCGAACCTGCATCTTCGCATACGATCATTGAAACTGGTATAACACATTCTACAATGAAAAGTGACAGTCAACGGCTACGTTGGAATCTTTTATTTAATCTTCTCATATGGCTCGTTGTTCTACTCCCATTTTGGATTCCATTTCTTTCGAACCAAGTTGCTTTCTATATGATATCATCGATTCAAGGTATTTTCATTTTCATATGGACTAGTAAGGCAATTCGAAAATACTTTCATTCTTGCAAATAACCCTAAACAACTTTGACTTTTCTAGTTATTGCAATATTGGCCGTGAAAAATGTCATCATTTTGTATGTGAATCGCTCGCATAATTATACAGAAAATATTGCTAGTCTTGAGAAAACACAAATTCGTCATATTGTTGCTATTAGTTGTTACAAAGAACCACTCGAATTAATTGCAACAAGTGTTCAATCAGTGGCTAATCAGACTGAAGTACATCGAATAAGCATGGTGATCTCCTTCGAAGAGAAAACACCCGATAAAGACGAGAAATGTCAATGCTTATATAATAGATTCAAAGATGCTGGATTTGAGAGAATCATATTTACTATTCATCCATTTGGTTTACCAAATGAAATTCCAGGCAAATGTTCGAATTCAAATTACGGTCTTCGAATGGCTGTTAGTCACATGAATGTTGCTGATGATGATATGGACAATATTCTTGTGACAACATGTGATACTGATACAAAATTGCCACCAAATTATATTGCAGCATTGACTTTGAAATATTTACAAGCGAATAAAGCAGCATTAACTACGATTTATCAATCGCCTTTATTTTACAATTGGAAATTGGATAGTCTATCATTTGTGACTCGTGTCACAGGACTTTTGCGAAGTTTATTAATGCTTGGCGCCCTTATTCCATTCAACATTAATACGTTGAATACTTTTTCGTATTCACTCAGCCTAGCAAAAAAAGGCAATTTTATTCATCCGGGCTATCAAATGGACGATATGATTTGTCTTATTCGATGGATGGATATAACACAGCAACGTCTTCGAATCTCAATGATTCCTGTACCAGTCATCAGTAGACCGACATCAGGTGAAACCATAGAAACCGAAATCATAGAATGGGCAAGACAAGCACGTCGTTGGACCATTGGAGCTGCAGAAGTCTTTCATTACTTTATCATCAAAGCGAAACGTATGCCAAAAATGGCAGCTTTCTCTTGGGGTTTCGTTTTCACTACCTATTATGGAGTTCTACTGTGCACAGCTGGCTTGTTTGGTTTAACATCTATCCTATCTATGATTCTACTCATCAAACATGTTCCACTAGTGATTACTTATGTTATGTATGGCTTCTTGGTTGCACAAATGTTAACGTTTTTGGTTGCATTCATTATTGATGCATTCATTGTTCAATTGATGAATGTTAATCAACGTATTTTTATTCTTCGCAATGCATTTCATTTCATATCAACACCATTTGTACTCTTAGCTTATTCACTGGTAGAACTCTATGCATTACATGAAGTGGTTATATTCGGCAGGAAAGTCTGTAAACATGGAGCATCATCAAAGACTTCCTTAGGCATGACATGGTAAGTTCCTATTTCCAGGAAATGCAAACGAAATGGCTATGAGAAAAGTTTCATGGAAATTTAATTCTATGCTTTGAGAAATAACCAAAGGAAATTCATTTTCATATGAAAATCTATATAGAAATAATATCTATATGTTTTAGACTTGGGTTAGATTGGCTTGGATTGGGTCAGAAAATTCATTTTACTATGAAAAGTATATAGAGACATAGTCTATATCTTTTCGGGGTGGGTTGGGTTGGAAAAATCATTTTTATATAAGAATTTATATAGAAATGATATCTATATGCTTTAGACTTGGGTTCGATAGGGTTGGATTGGGTCAGGAAATTTATTTTCATATGAGAATTTTTATAGAAGTGATATTTATATGTTTAAGGTTGGGTTGGGTCAGGAAATTTATCATATGACTGTAAAGTATTCTTAAATGCCTCCTTAAGGAACTTGAATATCAGCATCAAATATTAGTGCTATAAGGTAGGTGTTTTAATTCCTCTTTGAATTCTACAATATATTTAAAATAAAATGTTAGCTAGCTTACAATTATGAAAGTGAAAACAAAAGAATAAAATTAGTATAGCTTTTCTGATAAGAATAGGCAGACCAATGCGTTTTATATTCTAACTAATGATTGAGAAAGTCTGTTTTGCAATCTAGCTATTGATACAGTCAAACATTTTGCTATCTAATGGGTGATCGACTTGCATTTCATTTTGGAACATATGTCGACTGTCGTTCTGTTCTTAAAAGGAATTGAGCCAAGAGGAAAATATCATACTTGAGGGTGCGGTTGTAAGTGTGATTTTAAATCAATAAAAAACGAATTAACGATGTGGTGAAGCAAAAAAGAAGATCGAACAAATAATAAATAGATGAATAAATAAATAAGTATTCTTTTTTTATATTCTTTCTTAAATTGTTTTAGTTTTTTTTGTCGTTCTTGGAATTTACTGCATAATCAATGCCTAATCGCTTCTTAATCGATTTAGAATCGATTGACATCAAACGTAATTAATTTTAATCGATTGGTAGTAGCAGATCAATATTTTATTGTTTATAATCGATTGAGCATGATTTTAATTAATTATTAATCGATTATAATCTAATTATTTCCGTATTTTTGTTTTGCATGAATAATGATGTCAATATTTGATAAGTTTTAATCTAACGACTACGGTAACGGAATAATAGGTAAGAAGATCTGGATGCATCTTATCTTACTGATTAAAGATCAACTATGACTTTTGCCCCCTGCTATGAAAATTCATTTCATAATACAGAAGATTCTAGCATCGTCATTCAAGATGCTACAAGCGACATTGGCATATGTGGGTAAGTTGCTTAATATCAAGATTTTCACTGCCTCAAGCCTACTTAGAATTGACAACAGTCAGAGGTAGTAGCCACGTATCTAGTATTCATAGAATTATCTGTTCACTTCGGATACTACAAGCTATTCTATGTCATATTAAAAGAAAAGCATCGCTTCCCAGAATTATAATCGTAGTCTTTTTTTTCTCTCTTTCTCTCTCATTCTCATCTACTTACCATAATTTGAAACAATCTTCACTCTGTTATTATTTTCATGGAGTTCAATGAAAGCAATTCGTCATCCTATGAGAATGACAATGACAATGTTTTCAAGATGACAATTTTCGAACATACATTCAAATTCTACTTATTACTAATCCTAATGGTGCCTTCACTTTGTTGCACATTATTTGTGTAAGTTTCATTCTATAAATTGATATTCTTTTGAGAACTGTTACTGTTGTCGGCATGAAAACGAGGATTTCTGATGAGATTGTAAAAAAATGTTATCATATTTTTATGGTTCTTTCGTTTATCAATCAAAACATTTTCTCAAGAAGATCAAAATTATCAATGTCGAAAGAGCAGAATCACCTATTTTTAAATCCAATAGGTAAGAATGAATATACTCTTCTGTTTATAGTTTATATCACTTCAATTGGCGGCGCCTAAATAGTCAAATTTTCGGTGTTCTTCTTGTTGTCAATGCTCTGATCGGTGTTGTCGAACTTCCCATTACTCTTACATTTCTACACAATGGTTCTGTCATCACGACGCGTATATGCACGAGCTGGATCGTTTTAAACTACTCATTTTTTGTCGTGAACATTGATTTAATGGCGTGGGCATCATTTGAACGTTACTTATTCATTTATCATGACCTATTTATCACACGACACATTATCTTATTGCATTATGTGCCCATTGTAGGTCTTATTGTGTATCCTATCTTGTTCTACGTGTATGCTGTAGTAATTTACACATGTACATCAGTCTACAATGTGTATATGTATGTGTGCGGTGGAGCATGTTATCAATATGAATTTCCTCTAGGTCTAATCGACTGGATAGGAAATGTGATGTGTGTGGTAGCCATCATATTCATTGCCAATCTCTTGTTGATCATACGCAATTTTGTGCAACGACATCGTATGAGACGATCCATCATCACGGCAAACAAAAGACAACAATGGGTAAGAGTATTGATACATCTCATCTCATTAATATTCATCACATAAATTTCCGATTGATGATAATTGATTTTCTAAAATAGTTTACTAGTAAAAACTTGTACAGTGTACTTTTTACCTATTAAAGATAATATCTTCGACACCGTGAGTATTTTTCTAACAAAATCTTATTTCCAAGATATTGAGATCTTAGATAAAGAACAAAAAAAAATATAAGAATCAGATAGATGTAGCTCAAGATCTTGAAAGGAAAATTGTCTTCACAAGATCTGGAGCTAGATTTCGCCAAATTTTCGAAAACAAAACAAACCTTTATTGACAAAAATCAATATACGGATTAATATTTGTTTGAAATAGTCATAGAAACAACTATGAAATCTTTATATTTGAACTATTTCGGAAATGATTTAATGCTCTTTTGGAATGAGATGCTGATTGGAAAATAAATTTCGGCGTTATATCGATTAACAGATCCGTAATATCTCTCCACTCTAGTGTTTGCTTTATGCCTTCTAAACACTTACGATCAATATCTGTAGATGTACAATGATTGATATAAAGTAAATTAATTGATCTCAACTAATGTCTGTTTATCTTATAGCGTCGCTCATTAAAACTGAGTATACAATTACTCTCAATTTCCATGGTGTATATGATCGGATGGTTTCCATACTCGACAATTGGACTCGTTCAAATCTTTCAGAATACGACTTCACTCGCCTATCTTCTGGCGACCTTTTTCATCTATCTTCCCTATTTGCACACATTGACGTTACCTTACATTTGTCTTTTCTCAATGGCTGACGTAAGAAACAAATTTTTCGGTCTATTCGCCTTGTCATATGTTGCTGGAACGAATCCTAGAAATAATCGGGTGCATGTCGTGGATGATGAACAGAATGGAGGTACGATGGAAGTACCATTGACCAATCTTCCCCCGATAGCTACCATTGCAATTTAATATCAATGTCACTTCTTTCTGAATTCTCTGCAATAACATCACGAGATTGATCGAGTGTTAGGTATGAAGACTAAAAACTGTTCCTTGTACACGCGGTTTTTTTTAATAAATAAATACTTGGTTCAAATATTTGAGACAATCGAGCACAGAAGATCTGATTTGTACTGAAAGAATAGTCGAATTAGCATATTAAAAAGAAATTCATGATGTCTTCAAGAAAGCTGATGTTGTTCCCACAGATTTATCCTATGCTCAATTCATTACATTTGATCAAAAGACTAAATATAACATAATTGTACATATGCATAGAAACTGTCTTGCTACTGATGTAAACCATGTCTTTGACTATATCGATAAAACGAAAAACGTTCCGTTACTTATATACAATGGCTTTTTTTGAAGAAGTGATGAAAAAGTATGCTCTTAATTTCTAGGAAATATGCCCAAAATACATAAATTTCATTTGTGAATGGAATAATGATGCCTGTTAAAGAAGATGATACGATTTTTCTCTATCCAGAAATAACTCATCATAATACAAATTATTTTTCGGAATCTGAAATTTATCAAATTGACAGATTGGTCGGGAAAACTGCCGATACTATCCTAGATTATCTACCTTTTGGATCTATAAAAAAACAATCTGTTCTAGTTGATATTTTGCCAAAAATGAAATCAAAATATGCATAGCATTAATTCTTTACAATATTGATTGTGAATTTCTGGAGACACATTCAAAAATTGTTTGTCAAAAGAACCAAATAGGCTTTGGTATAGTACTATCAGATCATAATCTACCTAGTCGATATTGCTACAAACAGTGAAGATAGATTTTTTGATGCAGTTATTTACTGAGTACTATTTTCCTGTCACGTATTCCTCGTTATTGAATATTAATTTGATAATTTTTTCTGTCTTTCTTTTTTTTTCATAATAAAACTTCGCTCTCATTTCAAGCTTCAATAAGAGAATAGGTATGATAATGGAAACGGTATGGATGTTTAGATAAAGTAGAGTTTCATTCGTTAATTTATTTCAGCATCCATGACTGCCTCCATGTTGAGATAATGTACAATAGCCGACTATATAAACATATCCAACGTGAAAATAAAAACGAGCAACACATCTTTATATAACTGGAATGTGAATGTAGGTGTAGATATGAGGATACAATTAAGAGAAACAAGTGCAAGAACATGAACATCAATTGTCATCGTGAGTTTCAATGTTGAAATTTATGAAACATACTAGTAAGCATGAATGGAATAGTCAAAGGATTTGAATTTATTCTTCATTTTTCTTACGTACAGAAAATCATTCTATGACTAAGTGATAATATTTTTAAAATTTCACATATCTCTAATGAATATTCAGACAATCATAACAACATGATCCTCCAACTAGTTGTGCAATTTCGTTTTGGACTAGTTTAATTTCAAAAATGGCTTCAATATTATAAAGATTAACACTAGTTTTGCTCGTGTGTGTGTGAAAGGCCATTCAACCTATGGATTAATATTACAATCTATCAAAATTTGACAACGCATAATTGCCCATAAGGCTATAAATCAAGGATTTTTGTCCAAGAGAACATCTAAACGAATGAATGATGCTTGTGAACATATTTCAACGATTTATGCAACAAAAACCAAAGGTAAGCACGATTAATAATGTTCTTTGATGAATTTTATTGAAATCTAATAATGACGCTATCTCAATAAAATTACTTATATCATTAGTGATATTCCTTCGTATAAACCTATGAGCAATACTCAACATACCAGATCTGAAACAGAAAGTAAGCATAGGTGACATGTCTAATAAAAAGGCAGAATATGATTATACAATCAATATTATTAAAAGATTTGACTTTTATGGTTTATTTAATGATTCGGATATAAATCGTTCTAAAGAATTTGAATTTCTAATTGAAAATCAACTTGATCTTCAACTTTTACCAAATGATACAATTACTCTATTTTTTCAAAATTCTGATGTTAACGTAAGTTTAGAATTTATATTATCTACACAAATCTATAATAGTGAAATAAAAAGAAATTCTTTTTTTAGAAAAAAATAATGACATATTTATTAATCAGAATTATGATTGATGGTAAAACAGAACGTCAAGTTGGAATATTTATTGTTCAAATCAAATTAAATGAAAATCAACAAAGAAATAATTTAGCATGGAAAGGTAATACTGATCAAGTATTTCATTATGATGATATAATAACAATTTATGGGAAAGAAAAACAATTTGATGTTTTTGTTGATAATCAACCTTATGCTGTGTATTATCAATAATGAAAAACAATCGTGACTTATTTATTCAAATCATAATAAACCTGATCTTGATGATTCATATACAATGCAATATCAAGAATTCACACCATATGATTAATAAGTGATATTAATAGCAATAATGAGATATAATAAACTTATATGTATATTATATGAGTAGTTTGTAGTTTAATTATTTATAGAATTGTATTGTTGAATAGATATTTACAAAACAAGATTGGATGAAGCTAAATAAAAATACTATATGTAATTCTTTCATATAATCAATAGATAATGGAAAATTTAATTAAAAATTTTTTTTTTCATTTTTTGTAGATAATATTATCTGAATTTCATATACTCAAAGAGGAATCAACAGAACGAATACAACATGATCAAAATATTCAATCGCAGTTTATTTATATACATATCATTTTGATGCCTTCTTTTATTACTTACACATGTTTATATTTTATATCGATTGATTATTTCATTCGCCTATATCCCCCATTTGAATTCACAACCTTCGGATTGATCAAAATTCTGCCTTTCGGTATGTCCGATTTATTCTTCATATTGCAAACGAATAGCTATATTACAGCGAGATTAACCTTTGGTGAATCGAAAAAAGAAAAAGTAATTTAATGGGTTAAACTGTCAATCGAAATCACCGTAAAGCACGTCGAACAGCAGCATGAAATCGTCGTCTATAGACTTTCGGTGTTAATATGAAGATAACAAAGGTTAATGTTGAAGGAACAAACGCCAAAAGATAACCAAAAAGAAAAAGCCATGTATGCTGTCCGGATTTCATGCAACTACTTATGAAGGCGATAATCAGACGTGGCAATCCTAAGACGACCAGAATGAATGGTGGATAGAGAAGTTGGTTGTGCAGATGACATTGCCGTCGAAGATGTTGTTGAAAGGAGTTTTCCGGCTGCGCATGCGAATAAGTGCGTGCCAAAAGAACAAGAATGACAATAGCCGAGATAAAATTAATGGAGAAGGGAACGAGAACATGAAACAATGTGATAAATGAATTAAATATTTCAAATTGTGGAGAAAATCGTACAAAACACCAGATGCGCTTTTCATCCGCATCGAAATCGTCGATCAATTGACGATGCAACGGATCATGAAGATGAGTGATACTAGTGAAGAGAAGTATGGCGAAGATAATGAGTTTCGCTGTACGTTTTTTCTTGCTTTGACCTAAAATGACACCAAAACGCAGGGTCAATGTTCGATCGACGGCTATGCATGTATTGAGCCATTCACCTGATGCCAAAAAAACTTTTAGTAAGACATCAATAATGTGACAATGGGAGCTCAGCAATGATCGATTGGTAATCCATGCCATTTGCGAAAAAATCAAGAGCCAGCATTTGATCGCTAACATAGTAATGGTGCACATTGAGAGCATTGATGACATAATGAGATAATAACGAAAATGGGTTTCTCTTGGATAAGCAGTGCGAAAAGTCCAGATTGATAGAAATCCATTGATGATACCGACTACAGACATCACTGTAATAATGATCGCACTGAACTTGACCACTGATGGTTGGCGACTAAACGGTATATGCGGTTTAATATGATAGCCAATTATTGGATCAAGGGTGAATGTAAAAGCTTTCGTAGAAAATTGGCATTTTGTTCCATAGAAACATGCTGGACATAAGCACATGGACATAGTAGGACATGTTTCATTATTCTGAAAACATTGACCGCCATTTTCACAATCATTGAAGCCTTGACAATCGTACGAATGATTCGAATAGAAATCGAAACAATTGGCAAAACGATCCAGATCACATATACACATGTAGATTTCGTCATAGAAACACATCAACATCGGATTCTCTCGACAGACATTAGGATAGTATTTGATGCGACGAATTGATTCATAGGCAAGAAATGTCGAGTTAAGAACTTCATCAATCATTGCACAACGTTGTTTCGAACCGATCACAGTATGAATGGATTCCGAAGCTGTGAAAGTTTGACGAACTACTGCCAAATAGTAGTGTTGTTTGGCGAGTTCCACGAAAATAATATGAAATGGTTGAGAAATATATAGCATGATCATGTGTTGGTCGAAGGTTATTTTTTTAAAAACAGTCGTTCGTTCATGTCTCGCTGTATGGAAGGCAGTGATGATATGAATGAGTGCTGTCGAGTCTGTGCCTACTATACTATCTTTCATTTGAATTTTGACATATGAATTCTTGAGTTCGCATCGTAATCCCGAATAGTTGGACGTACAAAGACAAGTGACCTCTTGTAAATCAATGCGATCATCGCTTGGTACACAGCGTCCTTGATTTCGACAAGGATTATTGTTTCGATGACATATCGATCGTTTTAGATAGCATTGAGAACCAAATTTGTCCAGTGGACATACACAGATTGTCGAAGAGAGGCATATTGAATCATCCGAGCAATGGCACACATGAGTTTGATGACATGTGGAACCTGAATAACCTGGATCACATTGACAGAAGTATCGAAATTTTTGATTGATGTATCGAACGCATCGACCATGATTTCCACAAGACAACGAACACGAGTTAACTTTCGGCCGATCAGGAATGAACAACTGTGACACTATTCTATTGACGGGCAAGAATGGAAATGTAATGGGAAGAAACCAACTGCCCCAATAGAACATGGTAGTTAGCTCAAAAATATCAATATGAATTGAATAGATCAGAGCTGTGTTTTTTGGCCGATCTGGATACAATAAATAGATATTGAATTTAGTTCTACAGTCACGAGTAGGAACAAAGGTGATTTGCTCATGGTTGGGTGCAATGCGTTTAAATTGATCGACTAGCATAATTATCACTCGAAAAACCATCGGTGTGACAGTAAGACTACGCCATGCAAGTTGAAGTGTCAAACTGACGCGTTGACTTTGCCATTGACATTGAGTGCCGAAATAACTTGGCGGACAAAGACATCGATGACTGTGATTGGCGTCCGATTTTACAAGAATACCTCGATGACAAAACCAACTATTGTCATGATCGATAACCGGATCGTGAGATACAGATTGATCGCTCCATAATTTATTATCCATCGAGGAATTTGTTGAGATGGATGGGACATGTTCCAATCGAGATGGATTGAAGAATGGACTACGAGGAACGTCGTAATTGATTACAAAAAATGAGCATTCATGTGTCTTGTTCTGACCATATATAACAGGTTCATATGAATAAACCTGAATGGCAAACTCTCGGAAACAAGTGTCATTGTGAACTATAGTCGATGAATTGTGCCGACGACACAACATGTCATTTGTGATACAAGCCGCTTTCTTCCAAGCTATAGAGTTATTCAAATCCGTACGATTCTCAAAATATATCACTCGATGATAAAAAGAGTCGACACATGGATCAAGATAGGTTTCAAAGATGTATTCTAATGGAAGACAATACCGTTGTTCACTATTGATGTCTTGACATAGATGTTCATTCGACGCACAATGGCTGTATGAGCAACCAAGTTCATCGATACCATTCGTACAATCCCAATGTTTGTTGCAACGCGCATAGACATTATTGCATGGCCACCATTCACAATGCGTCTCATCGGTTTCTTCTTGACCTACAACTGTGTAGTCGATCCAAGCATTACATACATAGGCGAATGGAATATGTTTGATTATAGCCAACCCAGTGAAGACTTGCTCATCTTCTTCACCAGGACAGTCAACAGCATTATTACCGAGTGTCACTGGTGACAAACATTTTGTCGAGTTTGATGGGCAAACAAAGCGGTGAGAATCATTGAGATGACAAGCTGAAAAGTTTTCATCTTCACCATAGAAACAATCTGGAAAGCCGTCGGCGACTCGATGAATAGCAATACATTTCAAAGATTGCTCACAGTGAAAAAATGAAGCATTTACACACGATCGATCGATTCCACGCGTGGCACAGTGATAATGTAATTCGATGAAGACCGTGAACATTTCATTGAAATCATAAATTATCACTTTCTCAAGAAGCTGATTAGCGCGGCAACAGATGATTCCATGATCGAATTGAAGTTGAACTGTACAAGAACACAAAGCTGGACATTGTTGCATCCTAAAGCAGATCAAATCCGGAGCGATGTTCTGTTGAAATTCGATGACTGATCGATTAGTGAAGTACAGTAATTGAAAAAAACCAAAGAAGATGGGCTGATGTGGCAGAAATACCCATTCCGTGAGACAATGTACAGCTAATGGCTCACATAGGCCTTCAAATATTGGTTCGTTGTCCAATTCATCAATATAAGAAAGCACAAAACCTAAACACGAAAAATCAATTCTGTGCTACGTAATATTGAATATAGGAATCCTCTGTTTGACTCAGAATTCTCTCTACTTAATTTCTCGTCTCTTTCAACTTACCAAAACTACGATTGGCATGCAAGGAACAAAAAAATGCATGTCGACAGTCACCATCTGGGATAAAATCAAGAGATGTAAGAAGAATACGAGTGAATTCTTTGTCACGCTGATTCTCGCAATAAGTTCGTGGTGCTGGCATGATATTTCTCAAGATGTATTCCCCATCACCACAAGGAAATGAGCGACCATACCGACCAGTACGTTCCTCGCATCGAAAAGTTGGAATATTGATACACTTCCAATTAAACGATGGGTATATTGGTACACCAAAAAATTCGGGTTCGTCACTAGCATCGAGACAATCGACACTGACTCGACTATCGCGTAAGAATTCTAATGGAATACATTGACCACCATAGTGACATCGATATTCATCTTTTGCACATTTTGTTGTCTCTAAAACTTGACACCACATCTCGTCTTCTCCATTAAGACAATCGATTTTCTGATCGCAAATTTCACGCCAATCTAAACATAGTGGCCATGGACCACGATCACAGTTGGACAACAATGAGTAACATGTGCCAGTGGTGATATTAATCACAGTGGGAGAACGATTATCAAAGTTTGATCGAACAATATTACCAAATGAGAACGAAGTGGTATTATCTAAGTA